TTTTAGCTTGTCCATGGACATGGACGTCCATGTCCATGGACGGTCCATGTCCATGTCCATGTCCACGGACAACACTGTACTAGTGAATATACTTATAATCAACCAGGTATGTATCATATAATAATAATTGTATCAGATTAAAATAAAAAACCGGTTTATTTTAAAAGATTATATTTAACAAAATTTAAAGTAACTTTTTAAATTCTGTATAAGAAATCCAAATCTTATTTTTATTCAATAAGCAACAATTTGTTAAAATATTGAAATTTAATCTTATTTTTATTTTAATTTTAGGTGATACAAGCGTAGTTTATTCATGGGTTTTAAAAGACAATTGGACCTTAGTGTTTTTATTAGTTATATTTTAATTTTTTACAACAATTTATTTATTGAATTTGCTTATTTCATTGCTTGGAATGGCTATTGAAAAAACAAATAACGAAGAGTCTTTTTTACAGCTTAAATGAGAGGCAAGAAACCTTTATACAATGCTGTAATTTAAAAATAATATAATAATAATTATATTATTAAATATTATCTGAAATTGAACTTTTATGGATGTTACCTTATCAAAGAAGAAAAAAAAACTGGTTTACAGAAATTTTGTAATTAAATTTTTGTATTATAAATATAACAAATATATATTATATTTTTTAACGAATAATACTAATAATTTAATAATTTAGATATTATGAAGCTTCAATTGATGAACTTAAAGAATATATAAAAAATACTAATGCAAATTTGTCGCCTAGAATTAAAAGTATTATTGAAGATTCCAGCGAAGAATCAATTGAAATATTAAATGATATATTAAAGATTCAAACACTAAATGATGCATTAAACAAGTTCAAATAGATGAAGTATTAAAAAACAAAGTAAAAATTCAAATAGATGAAGCATTAAAAAATTTAATAGATAAAATTAATCAATTTACAAAACCAGAATTAGAATGATATAACTAGTAATTGTATATAAGCAATCTTATTACATTTCAGATTAATAAGATTGGTAAATGTTATATAATTATTAATTTATATGTTTATTTGAGTATATTATTATTGTTGTTTTTTATTTAAAAAAGATGTATATTAATTATTTATTTAACTAACTTTGAACGGATTAAAAATTTTTGATAAAGTTTTTTTCATTTTTATAATAAATGCCAATTTATTATTTCCTGGCAGTTTTAAAAATATATACATTTGTATTTGAATATTTTAAAAAAATTTAACAGATAAATATGTAGAGCTAATGATTAAGATTTATTTTTATCGGTTAATTTTTTAAAAATTAATTTATTACTTTTAAAAAAAGAAATAATTTATTCATCACCCAGGTGAATATTTACGCTCTTAAGAAACAATTTGCAGCCATCCACTAATAGGTTAGAATAAAGTTAATGGGTAGAGTTAA